TATATAGGCACATCATGACCATATATAGGCACATCATGACCATATATAGGCACATCATGACTATACATGGGCATACAACATGTTTTTCGTCGGAGAAAATTTGATAATCTGGACAGACCTAATTATTTTAGTATTTTGACACAGGATGTAATATTGTAATATCAACAATGCAAGTTATGTATGGCACAGAACCAAGAGCTATATAGTTAAACTACTTAATTTCTAAAGATGACTATTCCTGTATATTAAATCCCAACATGATCGTGTGTCTATTGTGACTAATAAACAAATTACTGATTGTCCACCACCAACAAAATTTCCAAAATAATTAAAATGTTAAAGTCTGTTTTCAACAACAAACTTATTCGCATGAATCGATAGTGTTGGTTCATGCGCATTTCTATCAGTTTTCAACGAAATCAGTAGTTCGATCAGATTCTACTGTTTGTGATGCAAAAAAACGGGCAACCAATCAAAGCTCAGTGGAAAACAGACTTCACAGAAGTGAAAATGAAATTTGCCATGACAGTGAGATAGGAAATAAAGTGAGAATTTTATATGACCATGCTCTAATGCTGGTGTATCTACCAACATTCCTTAAGCTACTTAAAAATAATATAAACATTCTGGAAAGCTGCAATGTAGTATGAAACTTTTTTGTGTCTAGATTAACTAACTACCAAAGCATATGAACATGTATAAAAAGTATATATAAAATCACTTTAGAAAATAGTTATGATTAATGAAATAATGAAATGTCCCAAGTTGTCTAAGCCATGAACCTGCCCTTAAAGCCAGGCTCTGGAGGAAACAAAAATTGTCAATATGGGAGCGGTTAATGATACAGATTTTTTAATATTTAAAAACAGGTGGAAAAAGGACGTAACAACCTTTTTTTCCACCTTTTTTCCCCAGGTTTTAAACATTCAAAAATGTCTACCTCATTAACCACTCCCAAGTTTTTTTGTCAAATATGCTTTTTGTGTCTCAGAAAAATCAGTTGTCCTCCAGAGAATGGCTTTAAAAATGAATCAGCTATCTAATAAACCCTGTAATTAATTAGAAAATTCAGTACATAACTGAATGATGGACTCAACAATTTACAAGTAGTTATTTAGCATTCACCTTAGCATCCACAATTTCTTGTATGCCTGATAGTATTTCTGGCGGTGCAACATCTTCCAATTGTTTTTTAAGCTTCCGGAAGGAATACATATTGTCATGGTAATGATCAAATTTACACTGAAAAATGAAAAAAATAAAAGAAATATTTTTAATGATTATTTCTAAATTAAATGCCTAAATAGAGATGGCATTCTACTATATAGAGCCAACATGTGGTTCTGATGGCTGGCCACTAGTAGCACTCTTTTGTCAATGATGACTTTTGTAAATGTATCTAAAAGACTATCTACTATGACAAAAAATTATGAATTTTCGATTTTCGGGAAACATCAAAACTAAGCGAGGCATTTGCCTCAAAATTGAGACATACTGTTGACATTGAATTACTTGGACCACCTTTTTTACATTGTTCACAAATTTAGGGCAATCTCACAAAAATTCTGACAATAATACAAGTTCATCAGGTTTGTAGATGAAAAATAAATATAATTTCTTTTAAACAAAACCAAGTATCTGTGAAAGTTTTATTTTTGGATTTAAATGTTTAAAAAATAAAAATTCACCTTCATAATGTTGCGTGCAAGTTTAACTTGCACATTGCTTGATGGACTAAATTTTTTCAGACCGCTTACACACATCACAAACTTTGTAAAGTGGTTCATCAGATCTCCCTGAAAAAAAAGAAAGTTTATCTTATGTCCAAATTATGAAAACTACTTTTTAAAATATATTTCAATAAAATACATTTTTGCTATTAAGCACAAATCAACAAATATTTATAGTGTCTTTAGTTCAGATTTATTGATTCAAGAAACCAATATTTTTTCTTTACTACAATAGTCAATAAACTGATCAACTGTAAAAAGCTAAAAATAAATCTAAGCAATTTAAGCATTATCATTACCATTGATATGCATATCATCATATCTTTCTTTTTAATTTACAACTTAACAATTTTCATAACAGTCAGTTTTTAAAATTTTCCTATTTACTACAATTTATCTAATAAACGTTTAAGTATTCATTATTGTTACATTCCTTTTCACTCAATACTCAAGTGCACCTTTTATGACTATATACAAATAACGTATTGCCTATCTGAAAACAAGAAAAAAAATCTTAAAATATTAAAAATGAAATTTCCTTGTACTTTAAACGGGATTACAAATTTTTTTAAAAAAATATGTTCTGGTCATAGGTAAGTAAATAATTTAATATAGCATATTTTTTTATTAGACTGTTTGGAATCTTATGTTTACATGGCATAGTAAGGTGTTGGGCTTTCAATCAAGAGATTGTGGGTTCAAGACAAATGCTCATCCCATTACTAGCACCCTTTGGTTTCAGAAATTCCAAATTAGACAAATGTCCAGACATGGGACTTTTGAACATATTGCACTCTAGGGGTATGGGGCTCGATCCCCTCCCCCACCCCAAAAAAAAATCAATTTTGTAAATGCTTGCAAATGCATTCAGGATCTGCATTTTTCCAGGAGAATACATGCATTTTAGGTCATCTCCAATCCAAACATTTCACACTGGCATAAGCTGGCAGTGTAGGTGTCCTTTGATCTTATCCGAAAGTGCTTTATAAAACAATACATTCAGTGTTAGTGCAGCTAGTTAGTATACATCATGATGTTACCATGACGTTTTAAGTATTGTAGTAAGAAGAGGGCTACAATAATCACGAATAGGATACATTTAATATAGGCATTAAATTTATGCATGAGATTTTCATCCTTCAGCATGAGAGCACGAGAAAGACCCCAAATGTGCGAGTCTCGTAGTTGGTCTGCAGTTTTGTTTTTCTTTTTTTCAGGAGTATAAATAGGTACCGGGTGAGAGGTAAATAATTTGTCGTGCATGCATAAATATGAATAATCTGCAGGGAGATTTTGCATGGTTGATTCTGTATCCAATGACCATGGAGAGAAAGCACTCCATATCCAAAAAAAGGTGCTATACAAATTGAAGATAAAATAAATATTACATTTAAGTAAACACATTTAATGCAACCAAACCTGTGCTTTTGCCAATGTCTGCATGTTGCTACGGTTGGTTGGCAGAGTACGTGGGCTAGAAGACGTAATTTCCAATCCATCTACTAACTGCTTGTACTGTAAAAAAGTATTTATAAAATAAAAATAATATTAATTATTTAAATTTTTAATTATAAGAGCAAGCATCATGATGATGAGCCATTGTCAATAGAGTTTTAAGTTAACTTTTAAATCAAACTTGCAAACAAGTCCCTATTACTACCTGTATCAATATATTAAACCGGTAGAATGTTTTATGTCAAAATAAAAAGATGGTTTTCACAAACACAGCTGAATGAGCTAGTGGTATTAATGCGAGCGTTGGTGCCAATCAGAGCATTATAATTCAACTTGGTACTAATAAGAAATATAAGAATAATAATATTGAAAGGTTTTAATGGAAAACAAATGCTGTTCTTACAACTGGGAGCTGGTCATCGATCTTGGACTGTACTTCATTTATGTGTTTATGAACAAACAACAGCTTTGTCATAGACTCCAACAGCTGTTCCTGCTGTTCCGCCTTTTGAGCTTCCTCCACCTGAATGTGTTCTAAGATTTTCTTGCAGAAATTGCAAACACGTAGATAATGATGAACATCTGGTTCAACTGCTGGACACTGTAACAGGAAGTTTATATTGTATTTATGAAATGGATATTTTCATTATATAAATCATATTTATTCTTATTATTTATACTTGAGATAAGCTTACAGGGTGCCATTAGGTAGAGTAGGTTTGAGTATTTCTCTACAAATCAATGTGTGTATATTAATACCCAAGCACCTAATTGCAATAAAGCAGCACTCTTGAATAAGGGCCAAAGCAGAAATGTAGGTAAAAATGGCCAGAAAAAATGGCCCCTGAAAAAAAAGGCCCCGAAAAAAATGGCAACTAATTTGACATTAGATTCTTTTTAAAAGCTAAGTTATTTTATTTTTTAAAAATGCATAATTTATGTTGATTTATTGATTTAATTTTTGCCATCTTTCAGCCTTTAAGTAACTTGTTAAATCAGTTTTATTACTAAATTTTTTTATTGGGGTCACTTTCACCTACCTGTCATTTGAAGCTATTTTTACTGGGGCCATTTTTTCCAGGGCCTTTTGTAAGGGGTCATTTTTTCAAGGGCCACATTTTTACCGTACACTACCAAAGCAACATGATTCTATTCTTTGCTATTAAGCGATTCTTTTGAATAAATGCCAAGGAACTAAATATATTTCTATTTGAATAAAGTTTGCTGTGTTTAATCAAGATCAAAAGTTCCCTGATGTTTTTTGTCAATTCAATTCAATTCAATTCATTTTTTATTCAACAAAAATACATTTGAAACAAAATTTATTGAGACATCATTGGGACACGATTACAGTAGGTAACAATTTTTTTTAAATAATACTAACGTTTCTAGAATTTAGATAGAGCTATGAACAACACATTGTATCATTTTAAAGGTTTGTGAAAAGTTTTGCTCCCTAATAAATGCCTTTTTGTATAAGCGCAGAAGTACACAATTTCAAGTATAGATAAGCTAATCAAAAGCGCTTTTAAAGGGTTGAAGAGATGTTTTAACAAAAAAGGCATCTAGGTCAAATATTTCTTTGTACATGCCTCCACCATCAAATATTGTGATATAATTAATCGTAATATAAATATAAACAGACTTTGAAAAGCCCCATCTAAGTATCAACTGCTATACTAACAAAACTTAATTCTTGCTTACTCCAGTAACCTTGATCACTGCCCAATGCGGCACATCACCAAACTTTTCCCGCTCGTGTTTGTCAGCAACAAACAAAAGCAGATCACGAGATGAGCAACGGTTGCAGATGAGGAGACCGGCAGTTGTGCTTCTGGTTGGCAAGGTGACGGTTGAAATTTTCCTCACAAGTCATACATGACTGCTTTTGCTCCTTGATCTGTAACAACACAAGATCTAATTGATTAAATTGAAAATTAAATAATATTAACATTTTTATAATGCATGGCTTAGCTCAGCGGTTCTGAAACATTTTGGCCAACGACCCAAACATCCAGGTAATTTGCTGTGATATTACAAAATTTTGAACTACTTCTTGTAAAGATGTTTGTTTGTTTGTTCAAGCCAAAGCCCAATTATATCTATCACTCCACTATCCAGTACACATCTTTTTCCGAGTGAAAGGGGCTTTAGATATTTAATTTATGAATGCATGTAAATATGTTTTTCTTTCTGCTTTTTAATCTAATCCCCTCCCTGCCTCTATCCCTACTTTCCTTTATACAACCTCATCCCATCTTTCCTATACTTCACTCCTCCTGTCATTCCCTCCATACCTCACTCCATCTGTCCCTCACTCCCTCCTTCCTTCATTTCTTAATTTTCATTCCATTAATTTATCAACCTTACAATATTTTAACAGAAACGTCATTCACTATTTGTGTAAATATTATCAGCTTACCGTCCAGCTTTTGGCTTTCTGCCATAAAGGTACTTCACTTTTAGTAATCAATCCTTGCACTTTATCTTTCAAGTTTGAGAGTTTTTTTTTTTTACCATCAACAGCTTCCTTTTGCAGGCTCCCTGTATACCCATCAATCAATCGATTCATTTCACGTTTTATCTGATGACTTCAAGAATACCAAACATACAGTACAATAAGTTATTCATTTTCAAAAATTAAATTTGCATAAACTTTGAATGTGGCGTAAAACAGGAGACATTCTGATTTTTAATGTGAGGAAATATTCTTTAATCATGCATACAGTTTTTAACTCACACAAGATCAATAGCCCAAATGCCAAAGGATGTTTCTCCAACTAAAACAAAAGAGTAACAATGGTATTGAATAAAGGACCGACTGCTCTCAAGGAGAAACTAAATCTCACAAGTGGAGTTCTTGGTTGTGAGAAAAAATCCTGCAAAACTGACAGGAATTAAACGCATGACGCTGGGATTGGAAAGTAAGCATCTACTACCAAGATATTCAACTCCAAAATAAACTCACCATTTTATTTTTCTATGTTATCAATAACCATTGTATCGATGTTATTAAAGACCATTTCATCTGTTTTTTAAGACTACTTTTGACGAAAGCAGCTTAGCTCAGTCGGCTACACTGGTGATCTTTTGGTCCCCGGTTCAATTCCCATCGCTGCTCTGATATTGCAGCTAAAGGGCTGAAATGCAAGTTACGATAGCTCACTATCTTTCGGAAGAGACGCTTAAGCCGTGTGCACTTATGGCCCATGTGCATGATAAAGAATGCAGTACACACTTCAGAAAAGAGTAGGGGATTGTCTCCCGATCTCCTGATGTACTGACCTATCACCACCAGAAGGACCCCAATGAGAAAATCAGACGTTCGTGAGTTATCCTTGGTGCTTACAACGAATAAATCTATTCATCCATCAATCTACGTTATTAATCACAATAGCACTTCAATGCAGCTACCTTTTTCGAATGCCAATTTGAAGTTGTCCAGCATCCAGTTCTTGTTGCTGGTTGTCTTGACGACATTTCTTAAAATAATCAGTCCATAAGTGTCGCTGACCCACATCCTGGGGTTCAGAGTTGAAGCAATCTTCACATACCTAGAAAATAAAACCAAAATATATCTTTTAATTAAACTGACAATTGTTATATCAAAACATACAGAATAAAAAAAAATCAAGGTAGAAATTTATTAGCATCATTCTGATAAAATCAATACCAAAAATCCTTATGATGTGACCTATTAATCATAATTAAAAAACTATACTATTTTTCTTTAAAAACAGGTTCATTTCAAGCCTTTTATATTTTACCTGATGCAACCGTCCATTTAGGTCATAATCAGCACACATGCTTTGCAGAACACCTCACCACATCTTAGCAAATGAAAATAATAAGTACTGTAGGTTTAAATATCCTTTTCTGTAGAACCAATGTGATAAACGGAGTACTTATCAGAATGTTTTGAGTTGTAACAAAAGTCTTTGCCAACTGGCTGGTGGGTTGTTAAAAATTTAAATCTAAGTATACAGTAACTAGTTGAAATTATTGAATAAATTTTATTGTCATGAAGTATTTCTTTCTCTCCATAATAATATTTTATTTATTTTTGTAATTATTTAAAAAAAATTAAATTTGCTGTTTTTCTGATTTTTCATTTTTTGAAAGCTGAAGTTCTGCTTGTTGGTATTGTCAAGACGACGATTATAAGAAGAAATCTTTCTTCCACGATCAAATTTCACACTTAGTGTTATCGTGATGTTATCATCAGTCTAAACCCATAAAGCATGCCGCATACTAGTGAACAGATTATTAAAAGTTTCTAAAAAGGTTCGTATACACAAAGATTTGCTGACATAACAGTTGGGTTGACTGACCTAGATGTGTTTGCGCATTGTGGTAGACATGGAGCCAGACTGTTTTATAATGGTTTTATTGAGGAATCTTTCCTCCATAAACAGCTGAATTTCGGGTGAACAATTTAACGATTTTAATTGGGAATCAACATGGATGGAATCAACATGCTACAGTATTCAAATTATTCTTGTAACTTCAATTTTCTTATTATTAAACCATAAAGACAATTTCTAATGTTAAAAGAATAAAAACATTTTTCTATGAATAAAATAAAAAATTATCATTTTCATACATAAATGATAATCGCAAGCAGTAAATTTTTCGTTGACTGATGTCCTACACACAATTCTTGCACTCGTCAATTGGCAGCAAGTGCAAAAATAAGACAAAGTGAGACATAACCACTGAGCGAATGCTGTGGTTACGCATGGCCAGCAAAGACCGGACATACGCTGTAGTCGCGTGCAGCAAATATCCAAGAAAAAGCTGTTACTTAGTTGGCCGTATAGGTGAGTTTATACCTGAGAATGGGCTTGTAGCCGCGTACAGTAAGTACGGTATATGCCATAATAATTCAGAAACAATGTTCTATGGTCCTATTTAGAAATGACGACAACCAAGGTACAATATGTCCTTTGCGTTGTATTTTCCCCGTTTTTTGCCCAGACCAATTGAACGATGACTGACTCTTATTTAATATAAAAATGAGGCATTTTTGTAAAATAAAACCTTTCAAAATGAAAAGATCAGATAAATTTACGTAATAATTGATAAAATGAATGCGTTTTCTTCAGCGGTTATCGCAGGCGAGCCTTCAAAAGTTACTGTAGTCCAATTTAGAAATATGAAAATACACTGTGTAATTTGAGTAATGCCACCAAGCATTAGGGACCCAGTTTGCAGCATTCATTGTGCACTACCACACTTCAAACACCTGTGAAAATCTTATCAGCAAGGTGCAAACTCACTGTTCTATATATATTTTAATAGAAATTTTTAAAAAAGGAGCCCCCCACTCCCACCTTTAACCACCCAGCTATCAATTCACTTCCTTGACCAGGGTTGTTCATATGAGCACATGAAATATCATGAAGCCTGTTTCACCGTCCTATAGGCAAGACTTTTTTACACTTTGTTTAGCAACAGCTTTTTGCCCAGTGAGTGCACCCTCCACCACAAATTTTAGGGAAAAACCTTTTTTATTTATTTTTATTACATCCTCCGCTCCCCTGAAATGTTCAAAAATAGGATTAAATATTCATTCCATAACTATAAAGATTTAACACGTTCAATGCCATGCACTTGAGTTCATGTTTACTCAGGGCACAAGGACGCTAGTCCACACCCATGCATACTACAGTACTATAGTATTACACATAGAGTATCACAATCGTGTCGTCACAAAACCAGGTAGCACCCCCTGGACGTTGGTTACCATTCATTACGCCTGAATGACTTCATAATCTTAATGGTTTAGAATAGGCTTTCTGAAATAGTCATTTTAAAACCTAATAATTTACCATCAAAATGTACTAAAAACATAAAAAGCTTGCATTATATTAGTTATCGAACACACATTTAATCATCAATTAACATTTACAAAGAAAAAGGGATCAATGGTTTGTCAGTGGAGAAAATGGCGTTGGTTGAACGCATTATGTATCACCGATAGCAACGCAGTAGTATCACATGGTAACGTGACGTAACACTGTAGTACACTTTAAACTCGTTGGCAGTGGTAACCAGAACACGAAGTCTTGTCTTAGAGGTTAAGGGAAGGGCCCGGAAGTAATACTCTAACAATAACTACCGTATGTTTGTTCATGTTTCAATACAGTTGATGCAAATGATTTTCATCAGGGCCGTGTGACCGGTGATGAATTTTTGGGGAAAAAAATTTCAACAAAATACTGTTGGGCTATATAGTCTACAGATAACATTTGGTGTTGAGGCATTTTACGGTACAAACATATTTTTTTCAGGTATAGGCACAAACATTTTTTTCCAGGCCTGTTTTTCATTATGGTTTGCCTCGGCATATGGGGTGGAAAAAGAATAAAAGGCTTGGCATTCAATGCTTTAAAGCATTTATCAATCTCACATATACATTGTTCACATTCATCAAAACATTTTATTTTTATTGTCTCCTCTGCCTACAAAAATATGTTCGCTAAGCAAGGTATTAAACATATATGTCTCGCCATAACTCAATAAATTTTCAAACAAAACAGAAAAAGAACTTACTTCCTACAGTGATGCTTCTGTTGAGTGATTGTAAAGTTCTTCAGACACTATTGATTCACACATTTCAACCGCACATCTACACTAATCCAATGGTGCTTAGATATTCCTAATAATATTAAACAAACATGATGGTTTTAACAGTGCCTAACTCCATCAAAAAGATCGCTAGTGCTAATAGTAATAAAGAGTTCATACACCTTGGTTCACAAAAATGTTTGCAACTTTTCCATGTGTGCGGCATGACCCCAGTGCGAAGTGGAAGGACTTTTCCAGAAATAATTATATTTTTCATCACTTTCAAGGTTCTGGAAACACTGAGATGATGAGCAGGATCCAGTCAAGCATTTGTCCCACAATATGTGCAATTACTGTACAAACAGCGATTATTTTATTCCTAAACCATATTGTGAAATATTTAAAAACTGTTTTAGTTATAAGGGTCCAAATTTATATAATTCTATCCCAAATTTTATTTGTTTACGTTTGTCATTTTTAAACAAAAACTTGTTTATATTTATTTATATTTTAAACAAATATATTTTGTAATTTTCTTGTAATTGTTTTTGTAACTTTTTAAATTACTGTTTGTTCAAATTTTTAAAAATTATCTTTAATATATCTGAATTTTATAAATGTGTCTGTAATTTAGTGATTCTCGTTTCTATTTCATGTATTATTTGAGGGCCCCTAATGATCAGCAATGCTGGATGGGTCACCCTCTTGAAATATAGTATTAAATAAATAAATAAAAGATCAGTCTCTATGACTTTCCAAAACCTTTACAGTATGAACCCTGTGGTAATAAATAACACACAAGAAACATAAATTTGATGTTGACATCATCAGGTATAAAAAACTAAGGTCTGGTGTGCATAATAATAATTTATGTGATTGGAATTTTTAATTTAAAGTACACAATAATAAACATACAAAGTAGTTAACAACCAAAATATTAAATTGGCTTTTTTTTCTTATCTTAAATTGAATGCAAATAACTTTAACAAAGTGTACAGTATATTTTGCCAGTTATAATTGAAATTTGCCTACTGTGTCTATAAGGTTAGGGTTAAGTGTTCCCTCACTAATCATTACAAAAATGGTGTGTAAACGAATAGGAGTTTTACCAGCTAAATATAATAATACCTCATACTTATATAGCGTGACAATGCGAAGCCTCAATGCGCTTTACAGCCACAAACACTCTACTGCCACCAACTTAAAATACACACATAATTGTTATTCTTTACCAGATCTCTGAGGCTCTTGTTGTTTTCCATCTTTATGTTGATCTACAAATGTGTCCACTTGATTCTGCACATAGTCCCATTGTGCTGGTGTTGATTGTGTTGCTGCAGAAGTTGCCCAAGTATCCATATCCTATCTGTGGATACAGAAAAGTGTTCCAGAGTTCTGAAAAAAAAAACTGAAAAAAATTACAACACACAAACTTGAATACCAGTGTACAAATGCAACATGGTTACATCATGGGTAAATTTCCTGCACGATTAAATTCTAAACACATTACAGTGTCTGCAAAAGTTTGTGCTTCAAATGGACAGCTCATTCTATTCTATCAAATTCTGTAGAAGCCTTTACATGGTGAAGAAAGTGTAACTTTTTTGCAAGGGTTGCACAGGTGGAAAATAACTCTGACATGGAAGATTGATTCAGAAAATTTTTTTTTAATTGTTTAATCGTCATTAAAAATGGTCCGTTACATGCAAGCTTTTACCAGGGGCCCATACAAATTGCAGGTAGCAATTTGTTTTCAATATATTTTTTTTTAAATAATAAATACTATCATGGGCCCTTAATAATGGCATGGGTCTTCTAATAATGGGCTCCCCCTCCCCCCCCCCAAAAAAAAGTTTGCGCCTTTGGCATAATCTTTCTCGCGCTTCGAGTTCATAACTGGGGGCCCACACCCCAACCATTGGCCCTGTTACAGTTTCCCCTCTTGGATGCCCTGAGTTGAACACTGCTGTTAGTGTAATGAACAAAGCTATCAAAAATATGCTTCCCTTTTATCAGTTAGTACTTTAAACACAAATAGCATTAAAAAGTTTGAGAATTATAAAAGTTTTAAAAATTATAGAACTACAATGAAATCAATAATCAGTTAGTAGAATAATGCTTCCAGTGATTTAAAGCTCTGGCCCGGTTCCAAACTTGTTCAGGTTGTAGTCATGCAATCTCTCATTTGTGTCATCAATTTTTAGTAACAAGGGTTATTCCATATATGTAATGTGTGCTTCTGGAATTTCCTGTTTTCTTTGTTTATTTACTTTAATGTTTTTTATATTGAATTTAAGGTGTGGTTCAAGAAAACAACATGCATACTGGTCAAGTTTTACAACTAATATAAATTTCATATTAATAGCTGGCCAGGCCTAGCAAGAATGTACTAGAAATTGGTCTATTTATAAATTAAATTGCTTTAATAATAATGTCCAAAACACATGACGCATGCCTACTTATCTACTGTAGGCTAGGCCTATACATAGTACAAAATCATGAACTTACCACTTCTGACTGGCCCACTGGCAAGTTATGTTGGGCTATCTCCGTACAGTTATTTGCAATGTATCTTGGTTAAAGGCCTTTTTATAATTCCACATTACAATTTATTTGGTTTTTTAACCAGGTACAGTATTTAATTTCAGTGCATTTAGTTGTTACAGTGTCACTTAATCAATCTCTTGTTAAAATCTCTGCACCACACAGTGGAAGCATTTTGACCATACCACAATACTTAGAGGTGAATACGAAACAGTAGTCATAGATAGGCCTAATCATAATAGATAAAATAAGTATTTTGAGAGAAATCTAATTTTTGTATCAAATGAATCATACATTATGAAAATCTCACGTCTGAATGAATTTAAAACAAACTTTATGCTAATTAGATTTAACCCAAGTTTAGCACCTACAGAATAATATAATGGTTGTGTCCACCTAGTGGGAATGAATTTAGCTTTTTGTATTTCTCTTCTCCTTGGTGGGGTATATATCGACTCAATAAATTGAATAGAATTGAATGCTAAAAAATCACAACTTTAAACTTAAAATGTTTAACCTACATTACAATGCAAACAAAATTATCATTATATTCTTTTGACATGCCATAGTGCATTCTAAAAAAAAAAAAAAAAACTCTTATTTGTTTCTTTTGTTTTCTATAAACAATCGCTTTTTAGATTTTTTATCGTTGTCGTTGATAAACAGGCCTTAAGACTGTAAGACTGCAAAGTTTAAGGTTAGTGTGAAGCCAGCTCCACCAATCAACACCTCAGATTTATGTAAGGTTCTGGGAACAATATCAATAGCCAAATGGTTTGTTTTAAGCAAATATTGACTGAGAAAATGTATTTATTTTTTCTGCTTTGCCCTATCATGAGTTCACCTGTCTCTTATACACATCTAGATGTGTATAAAAGACAGCCATTACTGCATCTGAACGAAGTAGTGGCACTATTTCCAGGCAAGGGTTACAACCAATGGCAAACCAGACCAAACGCACTTAGGCCTTACAGAAAACGCATTTAAGACAAGATACAATAACCACAAAGCCTCCTTCAGGAAAAAAGCTAAAAAGACTTAACACGGAATTAAGCAAACACGTATGGAAGCAAAAATAAACAAATGTGGACTTAAAAAATTTAATGAAACATTCTCAAACAAGCTAAACCATACAACCCATCATCAAAAACATGTAACCTGTGCATATGGGAAAGATATAAATAATTTGCAAAACTGAAACAGCTACATTAAAAAAATAAAATGAACTTGTTTCAGCATGCAGGCATGCCAAAAAATGAAAAACCCTATGTGCAGTGGCGGCGCCAGCGGGGGTAGGGGGGCTTAAGTCCCCCCACTGGACAGGTCAAGCCCCCCCCCCCCTACACATCTAGATGTGTATAAGAGACAGCCTATACATAGTACAAAATCATGAACTTACCACTTCTGACTGGCCCACTGGCAAGTTATGTTGGGCTATCTCTGTACAGTTATTTGCAATGTATCTTGGGTAAAGGCCTTTTTACAATTCCACATTACAATTTATTTGGTTTTTCAACCAGGTACAGTATTTAATTTCAGTGCATTTAGTTGTTACAGTGTCACTTAACCCCCCCCCAGAAAATATATCCTAGAGCCGCCACTGCCTATGTGTGCGGCCCGCCAAGCAACACTGACTAGAAAACACCTTGTTTTTTACAGCCCGACACCGATCATATGTAAAAAATAACATTAAAACTGAAGATAAAGTGGTGTAAAAGCACTTGGAGGTTTTTGGAAACTTACTGGAAACATCAAAGTTTGGGTGCGGCCTGCCTGTGTGCTAGATAGTTAGCCACCAAGGCCTAGACTAGGGCCTATGACTATATAGTGGTACAGCTCTTCCTTATTACTCCAGTGACCAGTCCTAGATTGTCGGTCAATTTGTATCCAAACAAATCCGTACCCATACCAACCCGTACCCACTTTGGTTAACCCGTACACAAATTTAAGTCAACCCGTCCCCACGTTTGGTTAACCCGTACAGATCTCATTTTGGTCAACCCGTACCCAAAAGATATTTGTATCTGTACTATCTCGTGCAGTCTGTAATATTGTCGTCGCCGATAATAAGGCAAGTTAATACACAGTTTTAATTTTCTCTGTTTCGTTTTCTTTTTCTTTTCCTCTGTCCCTATTATTTAGTGTCTTTTTTTTCCTGTTTTCTCGCATTTTTCATTTTTATTTTTAACATCGTCTATCGTCTCTGCTACTGGTATCATATCAAAATACACAAATTAGTGGAAATATAAATATAGTTTTGATAAACATAAACGTAGGCCTATAAAAAGGAAAACTAGACGCATGCAATGCAGTGCAGGCGCACGTGTGTGTAACAGTAACTTTATTTGTATAATTTTACAATTCAGAAAAGTATATTTGATTCAATAAATTACATTAATACTGTAACAAAACACAGAAGCCTTTATTATGAATAATTCAGAAATTGATTAATATAACTATGTAGTGTACACTTGACATTTCATTTCAGGGAACAGCAAGAAGAAAAAGAACATTGTTTTTCAATATTAAACAGCTACATAACTACTAAATTTTAAAAACATGCTAAAATTATATTCAAATTTATTGTACATACTGTAGTTAAAATTTCTCTGAAACAATAGCAATCGTTAAAAAAAAAAATAATAATCATGCTGAAAAAAAAGCATCGTTAAAAACTAAAATAAATAAAATCAATACTAAGTGTAAAACACGCTAAAAAAAAAACACACACAAAAAAAAAACGGTACCGGCCTGTGCCAATAACCTCCTAATGTGTACGTTGGCGTTCCATACGCTGTTAATCCCGACCAACGTGTCCAGGCTTCTCTAGGCATTGGCGATCATGAATTTCTTGAAGATAAATGTATTCTAACCCGTATGCTTGGCGTTCATATGATTACTATATAATATACAATAAAGTTTGCAAAATGTTATATTTAGTAAAAATACCATTCATCGAACTTGGGTACGGGTTAGTGTATGCTGTATATAGCTTGACCAAAGATGTGTACGGCTTGACCCAAGATGTGTACGGGTCGAACAAAATTGTGTGTACGGGTCAACCAAAATTTGGGTACGGTTTGTGAGTACGGGTTGGCATTTCATGGGTACGGGTTGACCTGTATTCAGATTAGCCTAGGCTAGCTAAAGCAAGACAGCCTGGCCTAGCCCTAGGCCACTGGTTAGATCAGTGTACTTAAGCTAAGGTTAGGTTAGGCCTCCTACTAGTAGTAGTAGTAGTACCTGTCCCGGGTCATCTGGTTGAATTACAGACGATCGGGCCCATTTTTGGACGATCGGGCCCAACTAGGGTGGACGATCGGGCCCATTTTCTAAAACGGCGGGTAGACCTTCGGGCCCATTTCCTCATGACTTCGGCCGCCGATAATTTCGGTCAGGCGAAATTTGTATGGGGCGCCATATGGGCATTATCCCACACCCACTATTGTTTGGAGTCTCATCTATGCCGTGGTGTATTATTTACAGTTAATTCAAGCACAATGCTATCGTTAATATTTTTCTTTTTTTCAGGTAAGAGGGAATGTGGATTCTATCAAAGCAATATAGCCGTTGAGACGGTCTATTAGGCCTAAAAATATAAATTGTTTGCCCTTCTTTTTTAAAATGATAAAAAGGGGCTGGTTGAAAAAAAGAACAAAGCAGAAAAAAGGTTTTCTTGCTTTGCCACACCTATTTTTTTCTCATGTAAGGGGGAAGGTGAGGATTGCAAACAGACCAACAACCTTATACTTAGGACCTTATAGTATACCTACTGCATTATTTTCTGTTTTATCATTCATTTTTATTTATACTGAGTGGTAAAACTGTACTTGAAGGTGTACACTAAGGTAAGTCGAGTAGTGCCAAAGTGCGAGTAATGCGAGCCAAATGTGCGATTTATGCGAGCCAATCAAGCAAAACATTTTTTTTTTTTTTTTTTTTTTTTTTCAGGTTATCCAGTTTT